ATTTTCTTATTTCTCATATCCTTCGACTGTAAGTGTTTTTGGTTCTGTGGAACTATTTCAAAAAGTTTACTCTTCACAATCCATGCAATATATGAAAGTGTTGTGACGTGAAATGTTAACTATGTAATCATAAACTAATGGCCACCGGAGATGAATAATTTGTGAAAGTATAAGTCAGTGATTTATGCATTTCTTGCCATACTGTTGGTCATATGATCACCTGAAAAATAGCTAATCCCAGTTAATAAGTTTAGTATTGTAAGAACTCCGCAGACTTTTGCCAGGACATGACTTGACAGCCACAGTAAAATGATAACCAAACAGTTTTAGTTATGTGGTATATACTAAAGGCGATAAGGAGGTAGTATAATAGCTATGTATTATAATACTCTTCATGCTTGTATGCCTCTAGTTGCCGTACACTTATTATCCCAGAGATACAGTTAATTTTCATGACCTTCATTTTTGAATAAAAAAATTTGAGGGGGTTGTGGAGATTTGGAAATATTTCAAGTTGTTATTCATCGTAGACTGACATCAGTTGGAGGAACAAAGGAACCCTGGGAGCACTGGACAGCTGTTTCGTCCTAGTATGGGACTAACAGAAGTTGGAAATATGGAGCATTGGATTTCAACCCAGTGGCTAGCTCAATGGTAACGCGCTGGTCGCGGAACCTGAAGGTCGCGGGTTCGATCCCTGGTGGTGTGGGGTTGTGGGTGCGCACTGCTGAGGAGTCCCATGCTAGGACCAAACAGCTGTCCAGTGCTCCCAGGTTTCCTTTGTTCCTCCAACTGATGTCAGTCTTCGATGAATAACAACTTGAAAAAAATTTTGTTTAGGAGATTTTTCAAAGATATTAATGAAGGTAAAAGATGTGTATGCGTTTGTGTACAACACTTTAGAATGTTTTGACAGTTACACATGTCTTATTGTCTAGATTTGTGTTGCTTTCAACTCAGTTAATACTGTTTCCGCTATACTTATATTACTTTCCGGTGATTAGTTCACTTTCTGTTAAATCTTAGCATTTTAAATAATATTTCCAAAATGATAATCTTGCTAAATTAATCATATCCCTTAAGAGAATTCTATTTCGAGTAACCTTGTTCTTCTTTTACCTTGACAATTATTTCCTTCTATTCAAACTCTCACCTTCTACTCGTACTTTGTTCATTCCACTTTTTCACACTTTATCCTAATATCCCTCCTCATTTCTGTTATTCTATTTTATCTTCTATATTATAGTTATTTGTCATAACTGTCTATCTGTATCAGTTGTTTGAAATTTGGCGTTTGTTTATCATCGCTATCATTGAAACATGAACATAGAAATACTTTAGAAAATTGAAATTAGTTGGTCAATATATGCACATATATTAAAAGACTTATATGTTATTGTTTTTAGTGGATATTAAAAGGAGAAAATTACAACCGAAGTGATATTATTGACATTATGAACATGTGGTGTGAAAAATTCAATTTTATCCTGTGTATTACGTGACTAGAATATCTTTTCACATCAGTACTATGATAATGTTATTCATTATAAATATAGAGACGTTATAAAGTGTACTGTTGCCTAATTCTTAGACAATATTTGAAAACTTAACTTTCTGTAAGTAAAAACGTTGTACAGAAAATCTGTGATCATTAAATAATAAATAATATTAAAACATTTGGCACTGATAAAATTTCGTTTAAATTTTTGACGGAGTTGTGGAGATTTGGAAACATTTCAAAGCACTGCATAACTGTTTCGTCCCACTTGTGTGGGACTCCTCAGCAGTGTTCACCCACTACCCCACACCAACAGGGATCGGACCCGCGACCTTCAGGTTCCGCGGGTTATCATTGAGCTACTGGGTCAGAATTATAGCTTACGACATAACGCACTAGCTTTGGAACCTGAAGGCCGCGGGTTCGACCCCTGTTGGTGTGGGGTAGTGGGTGTGCACTGCTAAGGAGTCCCATACTACTGGGACAAAAACAGCTGTCCAGTGCTCCCAAGTTTCCTTTGTTTCTCCAACTGAAATTTTCATTTGTCAAGTAACTATTTTCACATAACTTGTCCTTTCAAAAGTGAATTGGTTCAAATTACAGTCATAGTATGTCGAGTTGATTTTGTTTTGAAATCTTAGGTAGTAAACAGATGAGCATTTATGCGGTATAGAGTTAACTGTTGCCTGCCAACCATTTTCTCACTGTTACCTCGTTGCAAGCATTTATAACTGTTTATAAAAGATCCGTCTATGTCATCCACGTCTATCGGTGTTTCATTGAGTTTTCCTTTTTTTTTGTGATGTTATTATGATCGGAGATCATAAATGAGACAGATAAATACAGGTATACTTGCATTACATGTGACCTTAATTCGTCTTAAATTGAGAAGTTTAAGTGGTTAAGTTAACCTAAACGAGTATATTAATGATGGATAGCGGTTAGCAGTGGAATCCAAGACGTGCATTTCGTCCTAGTTGGGACTCGTCAGGTAGATGTACCTGCCTCTCAATGAGGGATATAACAACTTAAAAGAGTATAACTTATCTATTAGTTCACACTGTTAAAATTCACCTTGGTTTCTCAGGTATAAAACTTATTTTAGCCATCAATAAATCATTCTTAGTTAAAGTGAGTCATCATAGTCATTTTAATGTGCATTTCTTACTTCAAAACAATACTCTGATGTCACTCTCACCGCTGTCTGTTATGTATTAAGTAAAAGAAGAACCAACTTCACTTAATCTTGTGTATTTTCATCTCTGACTCTGGTAACAGACCACCCAACTAACATAATTGTGATTATTTTTTTTCAACACTTTTAAAGATTAAAAAATCTTTGAAATATTGTATGCAAGCATACATATATTCAAAACTTAATTTCTTTTTTTTTGAAAAAGAGGAACCTTTGATACTTCTAGTAGATAAAGGGTCTTCAAATAACATATACATTGCATCATTACTTGTACACAACGGATATAAGCACAGAAAAACCTCTTGTCGTGGTTTACTGAAGCATATTTAAATTAAAAGTGTTGAGAAAATATACCGCACTATCTGAACATGTCAGTCATACATAAAAGTAGTTGTGAGGAGAGATTTACTTTCCGCTGTATTCATACCAAAGTCTACAACTTTTCTGAAGTTGATATTATATTACTAAGAGAACAACTAAATCACTAGGGTTATTTCTGATTAATTTTCTCTCCAGTTGGAGTATTCTGTCTGTTTGATATTTAAGTGGTAAGGTAGTGGTACGTTTCTGTTGTTAGACAACAAATTATCACTAAATAATCTTATATCATTCATATAACCTTGTAAAGTTATCAACTCTTATATTTTCCTTACAAACTACAGTAAACTCACACATTAAATTTTAGTTCTTCCGTCTTATTCTCCTATAGTACATTTTTATTCAACTCCAAGACGGCTCAAGTATGTTATTTCACCTAAACGAGTTCCTTAATTTAGAGTTTTTAACAGTTGATAAGGAGGTACCATGTAAAGGAACTTATTCTGAAAAAAACTTGTTCTTCTTACTTAAGTGAAAGCTGATAGAAGTAGGAAATGTGTAACACTGAATTCTAACCCAGTGGCTTAATGGTAATCCACTGGACATGGAACCTGAAGATCCTGAGTTCGATCCCTTGGGAGGAGAGGTCATGGATGCGCATTGCTGAAGAGTTGTATACATGGGGATGAAACAGGTATTCAGTGCTCCCATGTTTCCAATGGTTCTCCAAATGATGTCAGTCCATGATGAATACTAACCTGAGATCAACTAATAAATCCCCTACAAACCTCCAAATCGAATGAGAATACTCAATAAAATATCATATGACTATTTAACCGGTTGTGTTAAAAATTCAAATAAGTTACAGTAGTACATTATGAATCTTGTTTTTAATTGAACCCAATACTTGTGAACTTCTCTTGGTCTAATTAATTGGCATATAGGTAGGTGGTTAAATATGTGAAAAATTAAAGTTTTTCACATCTTTATAGGTGGTAACTTGTCTAAGTTGATGATTAAATTCTGATAAATGTATAGGGAATAGATGACAAAGAAGTTTCGGATGATATGTCGATTAATTACTATTCAGTAGTATAATGATTTATCAGTTTAACTGTCAAGAAATTCATTACAATTTCTTCCGGTTGTATTCAGCCTTTACCCCAGATTTGCCTTCCTTTCAGTTCAATAAATTGTTTTCACTTTAGAAGTTGACTAAACCTCCTGAATGTATTTAATAATTAATTAAAGTGAGAAATATACCGTGATTACCATCACTTCACAATGAATAATCTTAGATATATAAGTTTTGTATAATTTAGACATGTTTCATATTTCAAGTTGTTATTCATCGAAGACTGACATCAGTTGGAGGAACAAAGGAAACCTGGGAGCACTGGACAGCTAATTCGTCCCCCTAGTATGGGACTCCTCAGCAGTGCGCACCCACGACCCCACCAGCAGGCCTCGAACCCGCGACCTTCAGGCTCCGCGACCAGCGCGTTACCATTGAGCCACTGGGTTGAAATCCAATGCTCCATATTCCAACTTCTGTTAGCTCACGATATAGCGCAAACCGCCACCCAATGTCATCATTGAGTAACTGTTCTCACGGCCATCAGGCTTGACTCCACCGGTCACGACTTGTCATTGGGACTTCGGGAATACTTCTCGAAGCTAGTCACCAACGAGCACTAGTTCAATTAAATTTTGAGGGGAGGAGTCCCATACTAGGACGAAACAGCTGTCCAGTGCTCCCAGGTTTCCTTTGTTCCTCCAACTGATGTCAGTCTTCGATGAATAACAACTTGAAATATTTCCAAATCTCCACAACCCCCTCAAAATTTAACATGTTTCATATGTTGAAAACCTGTATTCCTACCTTCAAAATTCTTATTTTCATCCTTCAAAAAAATGATCAACTAATTCATTCATCATTGACAATCTTTTTTTTTAATTTGTGCTTTTTTGTTTGTTTGTTTGTTGTAGAACAAGTGGAGAAATGATAAAATCAGCGATTTAGATTGGTCGATGTGTTTTGAAGAATCCCGTGAACAGTGTAGTTCTGGAGTAAGTGATCAATTAATAGATGTTTTATTTTTTCCTAAATATGTATGTTTCTCAGAAGGATAATATTTTTCCCACGTCTCAATGTTATAAGGCAAACTACTCTTGAAATGGTACTTTGTTAGTTTATCTCGACGCAAGTTATCTAGAACTATTTAAGTTGGAAAAGTCGTCATATTTTGTCCCTATATATTGAATAAGTAGGATCTTCATGATTTCATAACATGCAGGTGGAACCCTGGCTGACTGAAATGAACTAAAGGCTTGGTAAGCAGTTAATACTTGTAGCTCACTCGGTAGAGTGTAGAGCCATTAACTGCAAAGGTTGCTGGTTCGAACTGTCTTCTAGCTCAGATTTCCGTTTCATCTTCAGTCGCCATCTAATATGTTTACCTTTGTCGTATAGCCACCTGTTGGTAGTTTCAGTAGATTCTCTTTCGTACTAACCTAGACTCAACTCCTATGTCTCTGTTTAAAATATAAGATATCTCATTGGCATTCTTATTACCTTGAGACCAGTTACTGAGAATGATACAGAGTGACCTAAGTATTTCGAAAAACTCATTATACTAAGATAAAAGATAAGGGATATCATACTTAGACAGTGTGGATAAGCAGCAACACTAATGAACAAATTGTCGTCACAAGAAATTTCCTCAGTCAGTTGCTGGCCATTGTCTCCATTGTTATTCGATTTTATCATAGATATTCTTATGGAGATTTCCCTCTCGTCACCTAATTACACAGATGTTGACCTAATCACAGGTGAATTTTCATTAGACCTAGAATATGCAGATGACATAGTCCTGTTAGTTCTATGAAGACGCTGATAAGATGCAGAGTCTTCTGAACACTTTGAGTGGCAATTTGAGAATGTTTGGGATGCGTTTCTCACCACCGAAATACAAGTTGTTGCTCCCGAATCGGTCTTCAACGGTGCCACGGCTAAAAATAAAGAGTGAGATGGTTGAGTGTGTTGACCACTTCACTTACCTGGGAAGTAGCATCAGCTCTGCTCTAGTGGATCAGTGGACGATCAAATCTCTGTACACATACAAAAGGCTCGACTACCTCTCTCCAACTTACACCACCTATGGCGCCGCCGTCATATCCCATTGTCTATTAAGGGTCGCGTGTACTACACACCAGTCCGCTCTCTTCTACTCTATTATGGCTGTGAAACATGGCCATTGAAGATGGAAGATATGAGAAGGCTTCAAGTGATTGACCACCATTTACTTCGTAGTTTGGGATGTATTCTGTGGTGTCACCACATGAGTAATGCAGAAGTCAGGTGTAGAGTTTTAGGGAGAAGTGGTAAATCAGTTGAAGAGGTTATGAACTTTCATCGACTGAGATGGTTGAGACATGTATTAGGTATGCCTGCCTAGTCACCGATTGCCTCATCACACAATGTTGACCGAATTAGTTGTAGGCTGGAAAAGACTCGAGGTGGCTAGACTAAAACATGGCATCAATGTTTGAAGTGTTTGACTGTTTGTTTAAGCCATGTGAGGCGATGCAGACTGGTTGGTTGTGGTCGGTGGGACAAGAGGAACCAGTGGTTGAAGACTCTAGGTGATATGGTTCAGAACCGATGTTAGTGGTGCATTATCCTCATCTTAACGATACTATATCGAATCTCACCATTTTGCCACTCCTCTTTTCTTTCTTCTCGTACTTTATATTTCTTCTGACTGAATTTTCTCATCTTCATCTTGGACCTGACTACCTTTCTAGTTGATGTAGTGATATGAGGTGTGGTAACTCGAACCGTTACGCAGTAATGCCTGATCCTATGTTGATATTGATGATGATGACGATTAGTTGAAGAGTTTCAGTACTAGCCATCTGGTGTTAGATGACATTCATAAAACAAAGAGTGTTCATTCTAATTACTGACTTAGCGGATGGTTTGTAGCATTGTTAGTTCATCTTTTAAAGTCGTCAAAATAAAATCACTTGCTAGTCATGAAAGATATTCATGCACTACTGTATGGCAGTTTTATTTCAAGTACAGGTTGGTATTTTTTAACTTGATTACATTATTTTATGTGAAAAATGTCAACGATATAATTTAATGCAATTTTGGTGAATGACTAGTATATACTTTCTTCAAGCATTTATTTCTGTTAAGCAGCACTATAAAGTTTTATTATTTCCATCAATATTATTATGATTATTATTCTAAATGACTTGAAATTCACGTTATGCATAGGTTGGCATTTTATTACTCTCTTAAATTTCCTTTTTATTCAACACTTTGATATACATTATCGACAAATAAACAACACTTAAATATACTCTATTATATGTTTACTAGTTTCAACATTCTCAGATAAGACTAAGGTATATTTATACTTAGTATATAATGAAACGAGAACCATTTTTTAACACATTTAATAGTAAAATAATAATAATAATAATAATAATACACAGATTTATCATTATATGCACTTTACAATGCAAAAAGACATCAACAAAAATTTGAGGTAATAAATTTTTCTTAGTATAATAAAGTTATTTTCAATTTTTTTTTATTGTCTTCTCTATAACATCAAGCATTTGAGTTAATTATACAGAGGTGTGTTAATAAAGCGAAATGATAATAGTATACAGGACTATTTCCGGTAGAAGGTTATAAAATTAATTTTTCTACAATATATTTAATGCATACAGTACTACTGAATTAACTTTTTTGAGAATATGAGTATTAAGTATAGAAACTGAACACCTGCTTTATGAGAAAAAGCTGCCTAGTTAATTCCTGTTGATCATCTGTAATGTATCATTTGTTGATCCTGTGTACCCTTAAGGCAAAATCATTGTGTTTAAAAAAAGCGAGAACAAATAGATTTATTACTATTATCATATTATTATTTGTCCCTTGAGTTCCTAGTGGAACATAAAGCTTCACTAGCACGTCGCCATTTCACTTTCTTCACTACAATTCTTTGAACATGGCTCCAAGACAACCCACAACCTCTCATTTCTTCATCACACCATCTCCTCCATGTCATCCTCAACCAGCACACCCAACTCATCATTTCCCATGCAGATTCCACTCCACTCCACTCTAGCCTGACGCATGATGTCCCCACTCAGCCTTCTCAGTATATCCCCAATCCAATCCATCTACACTTCCTTCCACTGCATATTTGTTCAGCCATAGCTTCTTGCTTCGTTGGTTCATTGCCAGTCAGTCAGCCAGCCAACAGCCAGACAGACAGAGAGCTCCTCCTTGCTTATTCTGATTATTCTCACCATCCATCTGATCTTCACTATCGAGTGAGTGTAGGTGGCAACTGTTCACGTATGATGTCTGTAGTTTGATGCAAATGCGTTTCTCAACGCGCCAACTCTCTCAACCATCACATAGAAGCACTGATTTACTTGACTGACATTAGTGTTGAAAATCCGGATGTTGTTCACGCTTTATGGTGAGTGCAGAAGATCTCCACACTGGCTTCAGGTGAATGAAGAACGCCTGTCTTGCTGTCTTTCCGATGCAGACTGGTTTTTACATCCTCATGTGTGTCGCCACCCCTGTAGTTGAAACGATGTTGCCTGCCTGCCTGCCTGCCTAGGTAGGATAGGTGAGGTTAGGTTAGGGGTGGTAGGTGGGTAGGTGGGTAGGTCAGGGGTGGTAGGTATGTAGGTAGGTGGGTAGGTGGGTAGGTAGGTGGGTGGGTAAGTGTGTAGGTGGGTAGGTAGGTAGGTGGGTAGGTGGAGAGGTAGTTGAAAGAGACTACTTCCTTCGAGTTCCTCCCCTTCATGCTGATTGGAGTTGGTTGTTGTTGTTGTTATTGTTGGTGGTGGTGGTGGTGATGGCGTTGGTTGGGCACCTTCATCACCTCTGTCTTCTCCACCTTCACTTGAACTCCCATCTTCCCTGCCCTACACTGCCTCTTCTCCCAACTTGTTAGTTTGCACCTCTACATCTTCAAGTTTCTCCTACAACACATCACACATAAATCATCATCGTCGGCGAAATACAAATCTTCCAGGATATTTTCCCCTGTCCAGCCAGCCCATCCCCCTCTTCTCACAGCTCCCCACTGTTTCTTGCATGATACAGTTCAGTCGACCACAATCAGGAATATCATGAGTGATAGTAGACAGCCTTGTTTTACTCATGTCTTCACTTCACTTCACTTCAAAGGCATCACTGAGCTGAGCTTTGCATTGTGAATTACTTGGTATGTGGCATCTTCAAATAGTTGTTGAATGAGATTGATGAAGGTTTGTGGTATTCTGTAGTGTTGAAGCAACTGCCAAATTAAAGAACAAATAGATTTGTACAATAAAATTATGTCCTGTGAATTTTCAAATGAAAAACATACTTTAAGTTAGTTGAAAGAGAGAGAAGAGGTGCTGAAATTCAGGGTTAAGAGTAGAGAATAACTTGAGGAGACAGAAGGTCAAAGAAACTTCATGTTATTCAAGGTAAATAACAATTTATAGATGACTACGTCGATAATTCAAAATCCGTAAGGAAAACTGGGTCGAACAGACGAGGATGCTGGTAAGGGAGTATCTATGTTGTTGAGGACTTCTGTACACAGACGAGTAATCAGAAAAAATCAAAACAAATGTAGTCAAAACTAATCAGCCAGAGGGAAAGGCATGATGTAACCAAAAATAGTGTTGAATTAACCGGGTAAGAAAAGGTTAATCGTAATCCCTTTTTTGCATATAAATTATTATTATTATTTATCCTTTGGATTCCTAGTGGAACATAGGGCTTCACTAGCTCGTCGCCATTTAACTCTCTCCTCTTCTCTACAGTCTTCAATACCTGGCTCCATCACTGCCAACAAGCTTTCATTTCTTCATCACCCTCACGTGGGACACCCAACTAGTCGTTTCCCACTTGGTTGCCACTCGACAGCTTGGCCTGGCGCGTGATGACCGCGAATGGTCTTCTCAGTGTGTCTAATTCATCTTCACCTTCTTCTGCATATTTATTGTGCGATGGATTCTTGGTTGGTTCGTCGTCAGCCAGGGTTCCTCGTTGCCTATTCTTTCTGGCTATGTGATCATCAGTATCGAGTGATCGTAAGCGATAGCTGTTGATGAACGGCTGTAGTTGTTGCATATATAGGTCTGGTTTAAAATGTGTGAT